AACACCTGCACATTCAATACACATATGTGGATTACTAATTCATATACCACACAGCAAAATCCTCCCCCTAAAGAGGTTATGCGCTTCATACCAGTTGTTATGCCACTGGGCAGGATACACACAGCTGCACATGGCAGCTGTGCAAAGTCTACTTCAGAACTGCTTTGTTCTTTTCAAAGTCTGGTGAGGGGCATGCAGGCCATGTTTGTGCGCGCCTGTGTGCTCCGAGTGGTGACACATCTTCTCAGACAGGGTAGTGTGCTGTGTAATTTCATACACCATGGGGCACCAGCCTGCAGTTTCCATTGGAAACAGAAGCAAGCAGAAACACGTTCCTTTCTGCCCTCAGAACATAATGTCTCCTCCTCCCACCCTCCACATGTTGAAATGACATTCTGCAGAGCAAGTGGAAACTGCTCAACTCTTAAGTGTAGTCACTGTTAATAAGCATCATTGCTCTGTTTGCATCAGCAAGTTTACATATCCCTCCCAAAATGTAAGAGCCATCAACAACTGAATGCCTTCTTTGGGCTGCTGCAGTGCAGAGTGGTATAGTGAACTGCCCAATTTAAAGGGATATTCTTTCTGCCAAAGAGAGCTACATTTTTAGACAGTTTTGCATTTGTACCTTCAAAACTAGGGAAAGCTCCTGTGTAGTGCTTTTCCTGGGGAGGGGGGCATGATACAGAACAGTCATTACATGCTCAAACATGCACCTCACCCAGGGATAGAGGGATGGGGAATATTCAGGTCTGGCACAGAGACCAATGCTGCATCCTTAAAGACTCCTAGTACAGCCATTCCAGAGACCTACCTAGAGATAGTACACAGATAAGAACAGTCCTTCCACACAAGTTCTAGGGTAGTATGTGGCTCCAATTAGACACTCTGAGGAGCATCTCTCAAATTACAGCAAGCACTGCTCAGTCCCTGTGCTTAATGGCATGGCTACTAGGTGCCATAACTGCCCAAGGAAATACAGTTAATGCATACTTATTTCTCAAGCATCTACCTAGAGGTCCAAACAGCTCATATTACCTATGTGCCTAATCAGAAAAAAAATTCAAACACTTTCTCTCAAAAGGAAGGAAGAAAAAGCCATTCAACTACACATAAAATTTCCATCTTATGCCTCCTTCAGTTGCCAGCCTCTCCACTCTGGAGATCCAAACCTCCCTAAATGGCTGCAAGAAAAGATGGGCTGAGAAGCATGTTGAAAAGGTTAATGGAGCCAATGCTCTAGCAGACCCCAGGGGGAAAGCTCTCCCAGACTCCTCTCATGGCCAGGGGCTCTAGCTGAAATACCTCCACTGAACACAGCTAGTCATGCTGCAGTGCTGAAGACATACCATTAGGTAAAGCATTCACTGAGATTTTCACCTCTGATCTTATATAACTAACTGTGCCTTCAAGCTTTAGCAGCACCAGAAGAGACACGTACCTTTTCATGCCACTGAAGTAATATTGCACTGCTGTTTTCTGTTGGCTTTTCAAATCCTTTATAAATGTACTTCATTAACAAGTCAATGCCATTTTTGTCTAAGGAGTTTACTGCCTGTTCTATCTCGCTGCTTTTGAAGGAAGTAAGAACCTTAAAGACTACACCCTGGGCCCGTTCCTGCAAAGACAAGAAAGACAGAATCATATCAGATCCAACTGCCCCAAAGAGGAGAACAGAAAACTCTTATCTGAATCTAAAATGTACCCAATAACCAGCATTCAGTGCAACTAACAGGTTAATTAAGAGGTTATTTCAGTTCATCATGAACCAGGAGGCTTAAGTGTTTTCATTTAAATATCACCATTGAAGAGCACCTGGAACCAATTTTTTTTAAATATAAGTTGTGACAAAGGTCACTGGTCATGCCTTGTGAGCAAGTGTGAAGGGGATTTTCTGGGTCAGTTGATTCAGGCTTGTAGCAGCAAGCTCCCCACAATTAAGGTCAAATATATTTGATATAGCACATTACAAAATCCACACACACGTGGTTTCAGGCACATCCTGCCAGTCCCTACCTCTTTCCAGTGTCAGGAGTTTGGCATGTCATGGGACTGCTGCCATTTGCTCTCTGCATGTTGGTTCTTACCCCCTCCCCCCAGTGGAACATCAAATGTACTGTGGCACACAGACTCTGACTATGTATGAACCTGCCATCATACCGCTGCATGCACATTGTTTGAGTAGCCCTAATTGTTTTGGAAAGCTTCTCAAAATTATTTTTGTCTTTAAGGTTGCACAGAAAAGGTGCAGATATGGCATGAGAAGTGTTACTGACTGGGAATCAGAGCATATGTTCATTAGTTCACAAACAGTTCCACACTAGGGTATTGATGATCAGCGACTCATATTTTGAGAAAGCAGCCACTGTTCTGAAGTATCCCAGCAATCCACTGCCGAATCGCTAGGGACCCATATGCCAACACTGAAAGCCAATGGAACCAGACCAGGAAAAGCCCAAAGGCCTCATTTACCTTTACTGCTTGATTCTTCGTGTTAAGCGGAGAATTCCTTAAGGCCATGTGGAAAGCTCGGAGCATATCACCTGTGCAGCACAGCAAGTCAAGGATGCAAGTTGTTTATTCTTTAATTATTAATGATTCTAGAAGGGACAGTCTAGAACCCGTGGCACTGGATTTTGCAACACATCACCATCTCCTAAAAGCAACTAAAACAAGAAGAAAGGGCAAACTGCAGCAGCCATTTCCTTTGCTAAGACAATCCTAACCCTCATTTTAATGTAGTTACAACCAGGAATATAGGCTTCTGAATACTCTAAATGTCTTCATAGCATATCCTGGAATAACAGAGCAGAGCTGATTTCCAAAGATGATGCAACAGGAAAATGCCAGCAAGTGCAAAATGAGGAAAGGAAGTGACAACCACAAGGAAACTCAGGTCAAGGTCAGCAGACCCTCCCTTACTTTTTCCAATCATTCAGGATTTACACCATAATGGCTGAATGTCACTGTGACCTTTGGGCTACCCTGACTTGTTGCAAACGTTGCATTACTTAATGAGGAGCAGAACGAATATTCTACAGACACCAAAATCCTAAAACAGCCAGATGGAGTTCTTAAGGGATCCTGTAATCTGAACACACAGAATCCAGAAAGATTTCCCAATTCTTTCTGTGAGTAAGACAGACATCCAGCATTAGGGCCACACCTCCTACAGCTAGAATTTGCAAAGTAAGTGGATTTAGGCTTTCAAGGTCAGAAAAAAAAAAATGTTAAAAGATACGTTGAGAGTTAAAAAAAATTAAAAATCTACAACTAAAATCTCAGACTTCACTACAAATCTTTAGCTCAGATGTTATTTCCACCCTGACATGTACATATAAACTTGAAATCCACAGTAAAGACAGATATCCAAATGCCTTGAAGGGGAAACAGTAGGTACATAATAGAATACATGTATAATATACGTTTGGATTTGTCAGGCAGTTCAACTCCTTATCTCGAGAAGAGATGGAAGTATCTTGGACAGACACTGAGAATTAACAAGCCCCTGCTGTGGCAGGGGTGCCATTGGGCAGCTGGAGAAACTAAAAAAAAAAAAAAAAAAAAGTTATCTGCAAGTATTCAGATAACACACAGCACAAGAAATGTGGCCTACCTCATATGAACAGTGTTTAATCACATCTCCTAAAGCAAAGATGAACAGAATAAAGTATTCAATTACAGGAATAGAGCTGAAGATGACAGCATGCATTTCTGTCACTATCCCCCAAGGGAAGGAACACTTGGTATCCTGATCTCTGCGAATGAAAATGTGCAACTTTTTTGTGCCACGAACTGTAGTAGGACATACCAGCTGGACAAAACAGCTGCTACGCTTATTGGGCAGCAACACACACCGTTAAGAAGCTAATCAGATTCTAAAGGAATCACCACCACAAACAGACTTTTCCAGGGGACAGGCCAAGGAGCACTGGTCTCAAATTGCAGCAAGGGAAGTGTAGGTTGGATACTGGAAGTCTCTCACTATGCGGGTGGTGACGCACTGGAACAGGCTACTTGGAGCGGGGGGTGGAATCTCCATCTCTGGACTTTTTAAGTACAGGTTAGACAGATACTTGGCTGGGATGGTTTAGGCAGAGATGACTGTCCTTTGAACAGGACATTAAACCAGACAACTTCCTGAGGTCCCTTTCAACCCTATTTTTCTATGAATCTAAGCCACAAAACCACATAGCAAAAGTAAGACTGCTAGAGCCTTTCAGCAGACCATGAATTACAAGCAAGCATTCATTTTGCTTCAAGGTCAACTTCCTCTTAATTTGAAATTTTTAAAGCAGTTCACACATTGACAGAACATCCTTTGTCAGTTAAGCTGACAAGGCTTCACTGTTACAAAAACAGAAATGTTCTCACTCACTACAAAATGTACAGCCCTGATAGCAGAAAGCCCTTGGTCTCAAGTACTCATAAACCAGGCTGTGGAACTGCGACACAGCAGCATACTTTGAGGAAGAGGAGGTAGGAACATAGATTTTTTTTTAATTGATTTGCTCACTTCCAAGAATGCCAAATAAGAGAACAGAGGGTGGCCAGAAGTAGTCTGCATTGCTGACAACTCTAACAGGAAGACCTGAAGGATTAGCTATTTTTCTTTCCCCTCTGCTTAAAATACAAGTCCACAGAAGGATGATGATTAAACTATTTATAGCCCATCCCCGAGTACCAAGCTATTCCCAATCTATCAAACCTAAAACGATGCACACAAAAAAAACCAACTAAGCCTGCCATGTAATAGTCAGGGACATGTTCCTCCAAACACTCACTCAGCCAGGATTACTTCTTGAATGAACTGACTTGGCAAGGAAGAAAGGCACAAGTGACAGCATCTGCTGAGTTCTGATCAGGAAAAAGGATCAGGTCACGTTACATGTTTCGCTACTAATCAGAGCGTTTGAAGTAACTACAATCATTTTACACTGAAGGGATCTTATTTAGGAACTAGATGGCTCCAAACACTGACAATAAGATCCAGTGCCTTTCACCTAGCTATCACTGATTAGAATCCAGCAGACACCAAGAGTAATCCACATCCCAGGGCTGTTTGGTGGGTCTTGATCCAGCCCTTCAGGCAATCCCACAGCACAGAGACCCCATCACCAGTCCCTTTTCACAGCTGCAGTGAAGAAGCCAAACAGTGAAGTCAGCGAGGCACGTAAGTAGCATCTCTAAGCTAGAGATGCTTTTTTGCAGGTGGAAATTATCAGCCTCTTGAGGCACCAAACACTCCTCTGCGCGCTCCCTCCCCCCCACCCCCAAATCTGTGCTTAAAACAGGAGATCTGCAAATTCCAAAATGAACGGATACTGGTTTCCGAGATGCACAGACAGGCTACAGGCGCTATTTCTCCCACAGGCCCTCCCTGCTTGATAGGATCCCCACACAGATACAAGACTTCGTTCCAGAGCACGCAGTAGAGGAGCTGCTTCACTTCCGTCTGCTGAGCAGGCTGCTTAATATGAGCAATCTGGGTGAGGTCCCAGCGCAGACGGTGGCAGAGTTATTTTAAGCATCTTGACATCAGTATGGCACAAGTCGCTTATTTCAACACACACCGTCCTACTTGAGAGATGGTTTCAGAAACAGGGTGAGGCAATGGAACGGGCTCTTCCTATACAAGGCTCTCCGTCCACAGCTGTTGGCAACCCCCAGTTTTGTAACCGAATTAATTCTGGGTGGTTTACCAGGACCGCTGGCAGCTGTGCCTAAAATCACAAACCAAGCAAGTTTCCAGCTGCTCTAAAAAGTGAGGGTTGGGTGCTGCATCGATTCACAGGCATTAGGGGCTGGAGGTGACCTTGCAAGATCCCTGGGCAGGAAAGATGACCAGGGCAGAAGTTTGTAATGGACCGCGAGATCCAGAAGCAACTAGCAGCCCCATCCGCGCCACAACACAGACCTGGTCCCCGCTGCAGCTTCTCAGTCTATTTCGGACCTAGACGGCTTCCGCCCCTCAGACTGATTACAGTGCAAACGGAGCCTGCGCCCCTGCCCGACACGCACCGCTACCTCCCAGCCCCACGGCCGGCACACTAGGCGCTTTTCTACCCCATCTCTGCCTGCCTGGGTGCAGCGAGAGGAGGCGGCTCTGCCGAGTAACGGGGCGTATGTTTTATATCGACCAGAAACGAATCTAGGTTTCGAGGCCGGGTCCGCAGTCGCCCTTTTCCCTTGGGAAGAAGAGGCCGGCGCCTACTCGCCCCTGCAAGCGCGGCACTGGAGAAGAGGGGAGGACCCCACCCACCCCGCCGGAAGGAAGGATATTGCCGCAGCAGCGCCTCCACCTCGGGGCCGGGGTCGGGCTCGGCCGCCGCCGCCGCCTCGTCCGGCTCCTCCACGAACTTGTTCTCGTCGTACTCGTCGATGTCCAGGCGGCGGAAGCGCGAGGACAGCGTGTTCCGGGCCATGCCGGGCCGGCGGCCTAGAAACGGCGCGGCCCGGCCCGCTCCGCTCCACACCCCGCCGCCGCTTCCGGGACAGCCGGAACCGGAAGCCCTGTCGGAAGGCGAGGGGCGGGGCCGGAAGCGATGCGAGGCGGCACTTCCGGGTGGGGGTGGTCACCGACCCGAGCAGAGGGTTGGCTTCAGAACTGCCCTCCCTCCCCTGTCACTTGTCACAGAGGAAATGAAACAGGAGGGAAGGGGCACGGAGGTTTCTACCGGGGACTGAAGCTAATCGCGACCCAGGCTTGCAACCGGGATCCCAAGCGTGCAGCGTGGCGCATCACATCACACCGTAACAGTAGACACAGCGTCACCCATTGCCACGTCTATGCTGCGGTTAGCGTGTAAATTTGTCCCCCCCCGACTGCCAGCCATCAGATTGGTCATTTCTTTGGCACGCAGACAAGGCCCCACAGTCGGTACAGAGCCGCCGGGTCCCAATGACGGCACAGGCCAAGAGCAGGACCTGGCCTCATACGCCAGGAGCTGTGGTTGCTAATGAGAACAGTAACGGGACTTTGTGTGACCCGAATGCCTAGAAAGACGCAGCTGCTGCTCTTGGCGCAGTCACGTTTTGGAGCAGACCCACATTTGCTGGATCGCTTCCCCAACAGCGAACCAACGGGTTACGCAGTTCTTGAGATGGAAAAGGACATACGTTCACATAAACAATGCAGGATTTTTATTTTCAATATTTAACCTAGGAGGTGGATTTCATTTAAGATATGACTTTATTAAAAATACAAGGTATCTGAAAAAATCAGAACAATTATTTTAATGTACAAATTCAATAGCTGTAGCACGTTCTTTCAATTTTAATTGGAATCCTAAAAAAACAAAAGAGGGAACAGCCCTTTAGACCACTTTATTTCATATCCACTTAAAACAAGATAAACAAGGACAAATTCAGTTTTACGTCTTGGAGATGTGTACACAACACAACGCATTTACGGTCCCATCGTGCACACCAGGTAACTTTGCTGCTGAAATTTCTTAAAACTTACCAAACAAAACGTTGAATGATATAGTAGGATATCAAAATAGTTCCAATGCATTTATGATTTTTTTTTTTTTTTTTTAAAGAGGGAAAACATTTCACCTACAACCAGAAATATACAAGAACTATATGCAGCAGTATAAATGGTGAGGACATTTCACAAGCATTCTCAATTTGATCCAGGGTGGGGAAATCAAGGTATATTTGCTACAGACTCCATAATACACAATAAATTTAGATAATTTAAAAATAAAAAAAAGGCAAGAGGCAGCATTTCAGCAGCAAAGTGCTCAATAAAAAGTATATTGTAGAGGGATAGTACAAGGGAATGGGGGAAACAGCAGGACGGGAAAAGATCTCAAAGAAAATACGGTGTAGTTGTTCTAGGAGGAATTACACGTTCCGAGTCTGGAACTGCACGAAATAGCTTTGGTTCTCTTGTATTTACATCTTTGAAGACCATGATTGATGCAATATTTCCGCAGCGGTAGCAGTAATTTGGCGCAGACCATACTGTTACCAATTTCTCATCAAACATGAATTTATAGCCTTCATGCACTAGCTGATGTGCTCTGCAGATGAGTTTTAAGTTGTTGATATGAACAAACTGTAATATAAAGAAAGAAAAGACATGTAAACGTATGCGAGAGTCAGAGATGCTCTTTATACAACAGCTCTGCCACTTAGACCAAGGTATCTTAGGGGCAAACAAGTATCCCACTTACTAAAGAGGTTCGCTTTGCAAACCTGCACATAATTGTCAGCAGGAATCACTGCTAGTTTTACTGTAGATAAAATTCATTAAAGACTCCTTAGTTATGCCTCAGACTCCTCTCAGAAAATGAAATAGGTATCCTTTTTCATGCCACTGACAGACTGGTTAAGGAACTAGTTAACAAAGGGTACATAATCATAACCAACAGTAACAGAAGCAGAAGCTAAAACAGCTCATTTTGAGAAGGAAAACACCACTTTGCGTATTTGGTAGTGGGAACACCACTGGTTTTAAAAGCTGGAAAGGCTCTTAGTGAGGTATGTCTAGTACTTAATACTGTCCAATAGTAAACTGCAATGGTGTACAAAACTTTAAGTGAATTACTGTTCTGTCTGACACAGCTGTGTTGTACACTGAGAAATCATACAACTCTACCTGCACATGCTTGAGGGTAAACGTTTTAGCTAACCAGGTGTCAGCACTTCTACATTCTGCTTCATGATGCTTTTACCTCATTTGTGACCTTTGCACCAAACAGCCAGCCTGCTCCTCGGGGACTAATTGCCCAGGTATCAACATCCTCTGGATCAGACCAGACAAGGTCACAGAAGGCTCCTTTGTGAGGAATTTCTTGATTACGTTCAATGGTTCGAATCTGATCCAGTGTCTTGATGTCAGGAGATAGGCCACCATGTACACAGAGAATCTGCTCATCTATTAACTGAAGGAAAAAGGACACGGTATCAGGTATGGCATAATCTTACTTCTCCCTTCAATCTGACAGCACACTGCAAGGGGACAGTGAAAGACTACTAATCACTTGAGAGAAATGTCTAAAGAAATAAGCCATGCTTTATATTTCTCAAAATGAGCATAAAACTTACAGCTGCTACTGTGAGCATGTCGAACACTTTGGTACAGTATCTCCAAGCATTAGCATTTCCATATTTGGTTTGGCACTCATCTGTTAAAGAGAGAACCTGTTTTACTACCTGAATGTGGAAAAAAAAAACTGTTGAAAATTTCAACTAGAACTTGGCTTTTCAAAGAGTTAAATATAGGTCACTCCATCACGCAGGAACACCGGAACACAATGAGAAGGCATGTGTCCCACAGCCATCTGCAGCTTCTTCTATGCCTGTTTTATCATGTCTTGTATGCTCAGGCAATACAGACTTGGACCCTGTGTCAACATAAATGAAAGTGCTTTCTCCCTTTCCCACAACCCAATAGCTCACTTTGAAAAAAGCCTTAACTGCACTGGCTCAATTGCTATTCAGTGAAAACAAGTCAGATACTGGACTGATCAAAAGCATCTGGCCTATACAGAGCAAAAGAAGCAAGCTACAGCAGCTTTGATTCCTCAGCTCCAAAATGTGCCAGAGGAGCCACATCAGGGCACAGACTGGAGAGAGTGTTTTGTTTAAGGGAAACTTTTATTTCCACATTCACGGTACAGAGTCACTGTAAGAAGCTGAGACAACCCTTTTTGAACAGCCTCTGCTACTGCCTTTAACTGCCACAAGATCACAGTGTGCCCCTGTCTATACAGGCAGCTGAATTACGTAATATCATTTTCCTGCCCAAATTAAGAGGACACTCAGCCTGCAATAGAGCTGTAATGAACTAGGTTTAAAACAGCTCTAGGCAACTCAGACCTAGCAAGCAAAGATTTCTTTGCTATCTTAGGCCACTATGTCAAAACTTAGACCTAGTTGTCCTTGCTGTCACATGCATCCTGTTATGGACTACACATTCTCTGAAACAGCTATTAGTGTCTCTGTCACTTCAGTAACTTAGATGTCACTTCTAGGTGCATCTACTCCCTCAACATTTAAGTGGCTGCTCTATTGCTTAATAGTGGTGAAGCACCTATCCCTTAATGTCTGTTTACTGCCCTACTCACGACTTACCAGGTAAATCATTTTTGTTATTATGACAACACAGAATAAAACCAGGTTTAATGAGAATCTCAATATTAATTTTACTTTCTAATAGGACTTTACAGGATACCAGAGTACTTCAAATATTAAGCCTCGGCATTCTCAAGTGATTAACATACACTTATCCGTGAAACTAGAATAAAGCTGAAGACCTGCTTAAGATTTTATGGAAGATCAGGGACTGGACCCCATTTCCACAATCCACTCTGCCAACAGGAAAGCTATATACAGTAGCAGAAAAAAAAAAAAAAAAACAGATGTCCCTAAGGAAGATATGTCTTTGTTAACCAGTCTTACCATAAAATCCATACACTTGTGTTATCTGCCTGCTTTCATGATTGCCCCGTAAAAGCGTGATACGATCAGGCCACTTAGCTTTTAGTGCAAGAAGGTAGGTGAAAGTCTCAAGACTATAGTAACCTCTGTCTACGAAGTCACCCTGTAAGTTGAAAATATGTATTTGTAAGTAGAAAGCAAGTCAACTTCAATAATGCACACAGTAATACATCTATTTCTAATTCCTCAATTTGCCAAAAAGCCTGACACTGTTTTATCAACTCTGAAGACTACTTTATTTCACAGCTAAGATTTAGATTATTCAGAATTTTAGTTGAAAACAAATATTCCCCCATGGTCATATATTTCTGGTCATATAAGGTTGCACATGTTCTAAGACGCATTCAGGATGTCCTTTTTGTTGGTATCATGAACTACAGTTTTTATTTAGCAAATGCTGTAATTTCTTTCCTTTTGTGAGAGCCAGCACTGAATATTTCAAATTTTGCTGGACAAATCAAATGCTGCATGTTATCAGAAGAAGAGGGTGAACAGAGTGGAAAGCTTTATCACATGCCTAAGATGTTTACAAGCAAGAATTATAAATGAAAATGAAAACCAAAAGATAGCTGAAATCCCTTTTAGATCAGTATATTTTTTAAAAATGATTACCTTTTGCATGATCAACAATTTTTACATACCATAAATATATAGTTTGTGTCAGGAACCTGACCTCCAGTTCTGAATAATTCACATAAGTCATAAAACTGTAAAGAAGAGTTTGCACATGTTAAAAATCCGCGTTAGCAGCAGGCTAACACACTTTCAACAACAGTCATCACTTGGAAATAGGAAAGCACAAGATACGAGTTGCCTGAAACAAAGTTCTACGAAGGCTGATAAACAGTCATGACCGGAATGGGGAGACTGCCCTCTGTGCACTTTGTCAGTGGTAACACCCCCCACAAAAAACTGCTGATTTTACTGGGCACAAACTGCTGTACAGCTGCAAATCCTGAATCAATCCTGCAAGCTTAACAGACGAACTCAAATGGAGCTCCACCCTTTTGTGATGAGGCCCCATTAGTACCGAACAGCTCCAACAACTTCAGTCTAAACACCACCACTCTCCAGTGGGTCACTGGATGGGAGGGTTGCTTGGGAATGCTTCTGGAGGGGCTCCCTTACTACACACAAAGAAACACTGAGAAAAATACAAGATATTTTTGCATTTCACTCCAAGAGCAGAGCACAACAAATGCCTGACATCACTGAATGTCCACTAGCTAAATCTGGCTCCCCACCATACACCTCAGTTGCAGTTTGCCATCAGTCTTGGAAGAATGGTGGCATCCTGCTCTCCATGGGTGCAGCAGGAAACACACAGGAAGCACAGTACTGAAACGTTACCTGTCCGTGTATATCTCCACAGACTGTAACTGGCGTTGATACCGGCTGCACATTTGATTCTTCCAACAGTAGGTCACACACGTAATCACATAAGCGCTACGGGGGGGAAAAAAGGTTACTATGAGTCAGTACGTCAGTGCACCCACGTTGTTGTAATAGAAATTAACTAATTCACTGAAGTCTTTGTGCTGTGCCTGTAAACTGCAGATTCAGCTCCAAATCGCCAAAAAAAAATTTAACATAATTTGAGATAAGTATATGACAAAGCTACTGGGGAGCCCCCAAGCAGCCCAGACCTCTGCCAGCCTGCAAATGACAAGCCACGGATCCGGCCCCCGGGCCCGATGCAGCTGGCTGGGCACCGCCTCGGCAGCCCCCCAGGCGCAAAGGCTGTGACGGGGCGAGGGGCAGCGGCCCGGGCCTCACCTTGAGGTCGTTCTCGGGCAGGTACTTGCAGAGCCGCGCGATCTCCACGTACTTGTCCAGGTCCAACGGCGCCATCTTGGCAGAGCGGCTCCGGGGCGCCGGAAGCGGGACCCGGCACTTCCGGGGACCGCTAAAATCCCGCCCCGCCCCCCACCCCCCGTCGGCCCTTCTCGCAGAGCCCGGAAGTGGAGGGACTTCCGGGACGAGCGTCGGCACAGCCGAGCGGCCGGGAGTGCTGGAAGCGGAAGTCGGCCGTCTCCCTCCACAGACTTCCGGTGTGCGTGAGGCGCGGTTGAGTGGCCTCGCCTTGCCTCCCAGCCTGCTCCGCGCCGGCCGCGGGGCACGCCGGGAAGTGTAGTCTTCCTGTCAGAGATGGGGCGGGCCGGGCCTGGTTCGGGGGGCGTGTCGGGTCCCGTGCCCCTCGCTCAGGCCCATGCGGCTGCCGCTGCTGGAGCCCGGGGCGGCGCCCCGCCGGGCCGCGTGGTGAGTGCCCTCCGCCCCCGGGTCCCGT